ACACCGAGCTCCAAAGCAATTTCTTTTATGCTGGAGGCAGTTCAGTTTTATCTCTTTAAGGGTCTGCAGCATTAAAATGTTTTTAATTTCCTGTGATGCTTACTGATACAAAATGCCGGTGGATGATAAAATGGAGAAAGGCTATATGTCCCTGCTATGAATTTTGTGAAGCAGAAAGTTGGATCTGGATTTTGAATTTGGTATGAGGTTGACTTGAAAAGAAGTAAACCTTTTAGTCTGAGATAATTGTAGATTCACATGCAGTTGTAAGAAATAGTACAGAGAGACACTGGGTATACTTCATCCAGTTTTCCCCGATAGTGACATCTTGGAGAACTATCGTGCAATATCACAGCCAGAATATTGACGCTGAGATAGTTAATGAAGAGAACAGTTTCATCCCCACAAGGATCACCCTTATTGCCCTTTATAACCACACCCTCTTCCCTCTGTCTCATGCCCCTCCTTCCAACCCCTGGCGACCACTAATCTGTTCTCCAGTTCTGTACTTCTGTCATTTTGAGGATGTATGAATGGAATTGTGTGGTCTGTAACCTTTCAGAGTTGGCTTCTTTTCACTTAACGTAATTCTCTGGCTATTCATCCTGGTTGTTGCACGTGTTAACAGTTTGTTACTTTTTCTTTTATGATTTTTTTTTGACGTGGACCATTTTTAAAGTCTTTACTGAACCTGTTACAACATTGCTTCTGTTTTATGTCACGGCCCTCTGGCTGCGAGCCATGTGGGACCCCAGCTCCCCGACCGGGGATTGAACCCGCACCCCCTGCATTGGTAGGCAAAGTCCCAACCGCTAGACTGCCAGGGAAGTCCCAACAGTGTGTTACTTTTTATTGCTTAATAGTATTCCTTAGTATGGCTGTACCACGGTTTATTTAACCATTTACCTGATGAAAGATACCTGGATCATTTCCAGTTTGGTTAGTTACAAATAAAGCTGTTGTAAAATTGATGTACAGATTTGTGTGTGGATGAAAGTCTTCATTTCTCTGGGATAAATGCTGATGAGTTTCTGGGTTCTCTGGTAAGCTGCATGTTCAGTGGTTCATTTGTGTTGTAGAGAAACTGCCGAACTACCTGTACCATTTTACATCCCCACCTGCAATGGTATGAGTGATCCAGTTTCTCTCCATCCTCAGCAGCAGGTGGCGGTGTCACTCTTTTATTTTTGCGATTCTGATAGGTGTGTAGTGATGTCTCATTGTGGTTTTAATTTGCATTTCCCTGATAGCCAGTGATGTTGAACATCTTTTCATTTGCTTATCTGCCAGTTGTATAGCTTCTTTGGTACAATGTCTCTGTGCTTTTGGTATCAGATCTACTCTTTACCTAGATTCTGAAGACTTTATCTTATTTTTTTACTACTAGTTTTCTGTTTTACATTTAAATCCATGATCCATTTTGAGTTGATATTTTGTATAAAGTGTCAGATGACTTAGGTTGATGTTTCCTTTTTGTTTTTCCTGTGGAGAGCCATTTGCTCCAGCAACATTTCTTGAAAAGATTGACTTCCCTCTGTTGTATTGCCTTTGCACCTTTGTCAAAAGTCAGTGGGCCATACTTGTATGGAGCTAGTTCTGGATTCTCTGTTCTGGTCCGTTGATCCGAGTGCCTGTTTCTCTGACAATGCCACACAGTCTTGATTACTGTAGCTGTATAATAAGTCTTGAAATCAGGTGGAACAGTTTCAACCACCATATTCTCCTTTTTCAAAATTGTTTTGGCTCTTCTGACACTTCTGCTTTCCACATGAACTGTAGGATAATCTTATTGATATCTACCAAAAAAATCTTGCTAGGATTTTGATAGGAATTTCAATAAACCAAGCTGTCAGTTTGGGGGAAATTGACATCTTTACCGTGAGTCTTACTATATATGAACATAGTATATCTCCTTTTTGTATTCATTTATGAGATGGTTAGTCAGGAGCCGCCACAAGAGGAGAGAGAGGAGAGGCTCAGGAAAATAAAGTTTATTATGTTTACAGGTCCTAGAGACAGGCATGGCATACAGGGCCATATGGAAAAACCCCAAGGTAGTCAGGAGGCAGAAAAGGGGAGGGCTTAAGCCATAGCCTTTATTGGGGTTTGCACGGGAAAGGCGAGGCAGGATAAACACCTTAGAATTGGCTAGTCTGAATAATTTCAGCAGGCTTTGGGCTATAGGAAGAGTCTCTCGTTGCGTGGTACCTGGTCCTGGGATGATGAAGGGGAAGAATATTGCCTCCTGAGGTATAAGGGCCAGATAGAGGAGGTATGGCTCTGGATTGGCGAGTTTGCATATTAAAGACATGATCTCCTGGGCCTTTGCTACCTCTAAGAATTGGCTGGCCCTGGGAGGGTAGGGTCATTCTCTCCCCAGCCAGAAAGGTTTTTTTTAAGATGTCAAAGCATCATATTGTACAGAAAATAAAATACACAGACACACACACACACGCACACACACACAAATACATGTTTTCATTTATTTAGCTTGTCTTTGATTTTTGAAAAAACGACATTGTTTATATTTATATTATGCATAACTTTATCAGCCTAGTGGTGTCATCGTTTTACCCATTCAGGTGAAGTACAGAAAACTTATCTCCCTTTTCAACATTTAACCTCCCTCATTTTTATATAGTTGTCTTAAATATATCCTCTAAATACATTTAGAACCAAATCAAGCATTTTCCTAACATTTACTTCAACCATCCAACATAATTTAGAAAACTTAATAGGAGGCGGAAAGCCTATTGTATTTACCTGTATTTTTGCCTACCATGTTTTTGCTTCCTTCCTGATTTTCCAAGGTTCTTTTTTTTTTCTTTTTTTTAATAATGTCCTTTCTCTTTAGAACACTTCCTTTATCTGTTCTTTTATGATAGGTATGCTGGTGACAAATTGCTGTTTTTGTAGGTGAAAAGAAAAGGCTGAACATTGTTAATTTCAGATGGGTTCAAGGTAATACTAGTGGATGATCAGTACGGGTTGAAAGAAAAGGAAAACTGTGTGTAGAAGTGACCTGCAAGGGCTAAAGTGATGTATATGATTCCTTTTTCCTCCTCAACCACTTTATATGGGGGATTCACTGTGTGTAAGGCAGTGGGTGGTGGGAGTTACACAAGGTGGTATCCGTGTACAGGGGAATACTACTCAGCAACGAAAAAGAATGGACTATGTATAAACATAACAACGTGGAAGAATCTCAAATGCATTATGCTAAGTGAAAGAAGCCAGACAAATAAGAATACATAGTATATGATTCCATTAACGTAAACTCTAGAAAATGCCAACTAATGACAGAAAGTAAATCAGTGGGAGGAGAGAAAGGTAGTGAAATTGAGGGATAACCAAGGGAACTTGAGGAAACACTTGGGGGTGTTGCTGTGTTGATTGTGGTGGTGATTTCACTGGGACGTGCGTATGTCAAACATATCTAATTGCACACTTTAAATATACGCAGCTCTGGAAATTCCCTGGCGGTCCAGTGGTTAGGAGTCGGCACTTTTACTGCCGTGGCCCTGGGTTCAATCCCTGGTCAGGGAACTAAGATCCTGCAAGCCTCACGGATGGCCAAAAAAAATGCAGCACATTGTAGGTCAGTTGTAACTCAATAAAGCTGTTCAGAAAAACCCACATCAACAAGTGTTCCTCCCATGCATGACTGTTGTGCAGCTCCCTGATGTGCAACTCCAACTTGTCCACACTCTTGTTTTACAATACGGGACCAGTGATTACATGCTGGGATGTTGTAGCATCGTCAAATTGCTCTGAAAGTTTTTAAGTGCTCAGTTTCAGGTTTTAAACTTTTTAATTTTTTAAAAAATTTATTTTTTGTTTATTTATTTTTGGCTGCATTGGGTCTTCATTGCTGCGCACGGGTTTTTTTCTCTAGTTGTGGTGAGCGAGGACTACTCTTCGTTGCGGTGCGCGGGCTTCTCATTGCCGTGGCTTCTCTTGTTGCGGAGCACGGGCTCTAGGTGTGCGGGCTCAGTAGTTGTGGCTCACAGGCTTAGTTGCTCCGTGGCATGTGGGATCTTCCCAGACCAGTGCTTGAACCCGTGTCCCCTGCATTGACAGGCGGATTCTTAACCACTGCTCCAACAGGGCAGCCTTAATTAGTTTTTAAAGTGAGATATAATTGACATATAACATTGTATTAGTTTTAGCTGTACGACCTAATGTTTTGATATATGTTCAATTTAAAAAGTTATATCTTGTCACAGTAAGAAATCATCTTGTTTGTGCAGCATGTTTTCAGTTTCACGCACTGTTTCGGAGCAATGCTTCACACTATTTATACGCAGTTTTTTCCCATCTCATTCTGTATGTATCATTCTGAAACCGTTGTACCCTGCTTCATGGTCACAGTATCATTTGATTAGCCTGTGTTCTGGGGTATACATCCTGGCATGGAGCACATGGGATTTTCTCAGTGTGAGTCCTAGGAAATTAACTAGATCTGATAAAACATGCTGCCGGATTTCAAAGTGGATTATAGTGGGATGTTGGTATAATGTTGCCCCACTTGTATTTTTGAAGGAATCATTTAAAAGTTTCATGCAGTGTAAGAATTTTTCCAACTGGGGTGCGCTGGAGCATCCCAGGGATCTGGCATGGGAAAATCTGTGTTCAGGTTCTGGTTTCCAAGTGGACTGGATGGCATGGGGGCAAGCTGCTGCAACTCTCTCAGCCTAGGTTTTTTGGCTTTAAAGATAGAGCAACGGTTCCCTCACAGAAGATTGGCGATATAGTGAAAATGCTTGGTACCTGATAAGTGCTGTAAGTCGGTAAGTTTATTTCACTGGGTGTATTTGTATCTTCGTCTGGGAGAGTTACTGTTTTTTCCCTTCAGGAATAAGGCCCGTATATTGAAAATAATTTGGAAACCAGTTCTTAAAAATGCAGGGTGAATTTTGTAGAGTGTCTTGCCTGTTACATATAGGCTAAAGAACCAAGAGATACACATGAAATAATATACTTTTTCCCTCTCTTTTCAGGCAGTTACTCTCTTAACCGAATTAATTAGGGAAAACTTCAGGAACAGCAAATTAAAACAGTGCCTTTTACCAACCCTGGGGGAGCTGATCTATCTTATAGCCACCCAGGTAAGATTGTCTGGTTAACTCTGTTGTTCTTTGATGTGTTCTGACATATCATGGCGGATATCAAAATCAAAGTTTTTTGATTTTGCCCCTTTGAGCACACCTAAGGAATTTAGGAAAATTTTTACCTCTGGAGGAGAGAGGCTCTCAGTGTCTTTCTGACTCTTCTTCTATCTCTCCTTGTCTGTCTTCCCTCTCCCCCAGTGCCTCTTTTTCTTTAAAGTGTAGGAGATTCTAAGGCTGTATTTTAAAACCAGTGGACCAGAGTCCCCGAAGTACTTCCTAGGTTGCTGCCATCTTTGACTCCTTCATGCAAGAGGGTCCTGTTGGTTCTCCCAGTGTAAAAGCGCCATTATTATTTAAAACACTATGTGTAAATATAGCTCTTAACATGGCATGAGAATTTGTGACTGCAGAATTTGACCTCTTATATTTGGGAATATACTGAATAGATATAGATAAATTATGAGTTATTCATTTCATGTGATGCTCTGAGTGTTTTAATGAGCACCAGTAAGTTACAAGTTAATCAAAAGTTCTCTCCTTGTACTTACGTTTTGCTTCTAGAACTTGCTTAAATGTTATATAACCTGAGTATCCTTAGTATCTAAATTGACTTTCTGGATGATCATCATTTTAAGGCAATTAACTTAATTACTATAAAACATCAGTATTTAAAATCATTTAGTTCCATGCGTAGTATTGATAGCCTGTACCGCAAATCTCACCTCCTTAGTCTTCGTTTTCATAAATGTCTTGGCTATTCCTGGCCCTTTACATGTCAGAATAAATTTTAGAATCAGATTGTCCAGTTCTGAAATCATCTTTTGAACCCTGCATTGACTCTACAGAAATACTGCTGTCTTTGTGATTTTGAGTCTCCTAATGCATGTTCGGGATTGTACTGCATCTATGAGGAAAGTATTACCACATTTATGATATGTTGTCCTTTAATGCACACAAAAATGGTGTTTTCATATATTTATATTAAAAGATTTTTCATTTAAGTCATTTAAATTATTGGGTTGGCCAAAAAGTTCGTCATCTTAACAGAAAAACCCAAATGAACTTTTTGGCCAACCCAATATATTTCACTCATAAAGCTTTTGTACATTTGGCTTGGTTGAGTTTATTCTCAGGTAATTTTATATTTTGAAGAGATAACACACTCATGAAACTAGAAAACTTGGAAGTATAGAAAGGTATACAGAGAAGGGTCTCTTTTCTATTTTTGTCCTCCATCTGTGTAGTTCCCCAATAAATAACCATTACGATTACTTTCTTATATTTACAGCATTAGTTTTGCACAAATGAGTGATTAGAAATGTAGATTCTTACTTTGTCTCATTTTATATAGCAAGTAGAGCAACATTTTTCACTTAATAGTTACACAGTATTAAAAACAGTGTATGGCGATACATACGCTGGAGCTATTTCTTAATAATTAATATGGATGTCTTTCTCAGTTAGTACTTAGAGCTCCCTCCCTCCTCCTCTTGCACTGGAACATTCTCTTGTGTGCTAAGTTTTGTGAAAGACAGTTTTCCTTGCAGTTCTTCGGGGGTGGGGCTGGAGAGTTTATATTGATTTTACTCTTACCTTGGGCCCTGGAGGCCTTGACATCAAAGCTCAAATTTACCAAGTTCTGCAGGCCCTCAGAATAAAAGCAAACTTCAGTGCTCTGTTTATCCCTTCATGCTTGCAGCTAATTTTTGGCTTGATTATTCTTTGTTTTCTTGTCAGCTCTCTGAGGCATTTTAAGGATACAGAATAAAACTGCTTTCCTTAGAAGAAAGGTCAGGTATGTCAGACCACAGGAAGTGTGGTCTGCCATCTTATCATGGGTGGGAGTCTAGTCCAGTTTTTTTTGGGGGGGGGGCATGTGTCCCATTTTTTTTTTTTACCTTTCCCCCCAGCTTAATTGAGGTATAATTGGCATACCATAAACTGCACACGTTTAAAGATTAAAATTTGATCAGTGCTAATATATGTATACATCTGTGAAACCATCACCACAGTCAAGATAATGAAAATATCTATTGCCTCCAGAAGTTTTCTCAGCACCGTTTGTTACCCCTCCCTCCTGCCCCTCTCCCCACCCCCAGGCAACCGCTGATTGCCTTCTGTCATATAGACTACTTTGCATTTTGTAGAGTCTTATATAAATGGAATAATGCAGAATCATATTTCTGTTTGTTTCTAAAAGTAGATCTAGAGAATCATTTCCCTTCGTTCTCACTTTAATTGGATGTAAGCTAGGCTGTTTTAATAAAGGGATGATTCTGTGGCCATGACATTTGACCACATTTTATGATAGCAAACCAGAAAAGGAAGTTATGTCCCTGGACCCACACAAATCACTAATATTTCATGAGATGAGGCTGTTTGTGGCGTTGTCACTTAGCATATAGGTAAACCTTAACATCTCAGGTCAGTGCTGACGTAGTGAGACTGACCTGAAGTGATATATGTATACGCACACACACGTACGTACATACATGCATATCGTATATAATGTAGACACCTAAGTCCTGTCCTTTTGATTTTCTGGTAACACCCTAAGGTTATAAGCATGAGAACAGAAGACCAGACTGTGATTCTGACGAGGATATTATGAGGCAGCACATTTATAGTTTACGTATTTTTTTTTCTGACTTTTGTCAAGGATACATATCACATTGAGGCCAGGTATTCTTATATTTTGTCCTTTTTGTCCAGCCCATAATCATTTCCAGATGATCTCCTTGCTTCACTCTTGTGTCCATTGAAGTCTTCCCCAGACATCAGCCAGAGTGAGCCTGTTAAACCCATGAGACTCTGCCGTTGTCACTCCTCAGAGCCCTCCCATGCTTCCTGTCTTCCCGGTTGTCACAGCTAAATCTCCAGTTACCTTCTGGGCTCTTGTGAGCTGCCTCCCCAGTCCGCATATGACCTCTGCCCTCACGACCCTCTTACTTGTTTCCTCCTCCCAGGCGCACTGCCCTCCCCACAGTTCCCTGAAACCCTTCGTACCCTGATCCTGCCTCCACACCTTTGCATTTGCTGTTCCTCTTGCTTGCATTGTTTTCCCCCTAGATGTTTACAGTTTCTCTCTGCTCACGTGGATCCCTGCAGAGAGCCTTCTCCTGGCCCTGAGCAATGTGAGATGGAGCCTCTCTGACTACAGTCTTCCTCTAACCCCTTAGCCTGCTGTGCTTTTCTTCCTTTTTTTTTTTTTAACTAAAAAAGTTTTGTTGAGGTATAGTTGATGTACAATGTTGTGTTTAATTTCTGCTGTACAGCAAAGTGACTCAGTTTTTTTAATATATATATATATTCTTTTTAATATTCTTTTCCATTATGGTTTATAACAGGATATTGAATATAGTTCCCTGTGCTATACAGTAGGACCTTGTTTATCCATTGCTATGCTTTTCTTTATAGCGCTCATCACTATCTTGACTTTATTTTGTTTAATTAAAAAAAAACTTTGTCCCCCACTAAATACCATTAAGACAGAACGTTTATCTTTCTTGCTCACAGCTGTGTGGCTATTGTTTAGAAGAGTTCCTGGCACACAGTAGGTGCTTTTTTCCACTCATGAACTGCACCAAGGCCAATGGGACTGGAGGGGAATGAGCAGGAAGCAGGGCTGCAGAGACTGGCAGGGACGTGACCATGGAGGGCTCCTCGGCCAAGTCGGATGCCTGGGTCTTCATCCTGAGAGCAAGGGGAAGCCGATAAAGTTTTAAGAAGGGTAAGGGTGTCATCTGATTTAAGTGCCACAAAGATGACTGCTTTATAAGTGGAGAATAGATTGGAGGATGGTAAGAGAGGCTTCTGGATCCTAACGGACAGTAAGTGAAGCAGGAGCAAACTTAGGAGAGGAGTGGGCATTTCAGAAAAGAGAATGTCGATAGGGCTGAATGTCCAAGAAAGAGGACCACAGAGTCCCCTGGCTTGAGTGACACGAAAGTCACCGGTAACCCAAAAAGAGCTGTTTCGTGTATTTATTTATTTAATGTGGAGTGAGTGAGGCCGAAGACGTCAGACGGCAGCGTGTTGAGGATTTAGGGGGAGGTGAGGACACTTGAGGAAGTGAACGTAAAGCTTAGGATGGTTGTGGGAAAGAGCGGAGGGGCGAGGGGCTGTTGTGAGAATGGGAGACAACAGGGGGCCAAATCAAGCTGGCGGAATAGAAGGACGTGGAGCTCACCTTCTCCCACAAAGACATCAAAAATACACCTCCAGGGGACTTCCACTGCCGGGGGCACGGGTTTGATCCCTGGTCGGGGAACTAAGATCTCACATGCCACGTGGCCCAGCCAAAAAAAAAAAGAAAAACATCTACATGTAGTTCTCACAGCACATCTGAAAATGGGAGATGACAGTGAGTCTGTTCTAGTGGAAATGGAAGGGGTCCCGTGGAGATAGGGCATCGAGCACTTAGGAGAAATAAGGGATGGTCCAGACCCTAGTGACCCTGAAGAAAGCAGGGTGGGAATGGGCTTGTGAGCCCACGTGGAAAGGGTGGAGGAGCCTGTCCTGCTGTAACCACTGGGTATGAGCGGCAGCTCGCTGCAGGTGGAGGTGAGGTCGTAGTTCCTCTCTCATCACTTCCATGGTCTCCGCGGAGGAGGAAAAGTAGGTGAAGTGATGGCAGGGCCGCGGGATTGAAGTACTGTGGTCCTTTAGGAGAGGGAATTGGTCAGAGAGAGAGATGGGCCTGGAGAGTGACGTGGAAGGTCCCTGGGCTTACTGATCCTAGGTCCTTTGTGGACTCTGTGTTCTTGGTGTCACCCTTCCAAGAGCCCAGCTGTCTGAGCGCAGGCCTGGAGAAAACAAGCCACTGGCTCCCTCTAAGGTCGAGTTTCCCCGGGCCCAGGACAAGGGCACTCCAGAGGGTGAGGTCATTCAGGCCTTTGGCAAGAGTGATTAAATGATAGACCAGGAATCTAAATGGCTGTCAGGGAGGGTTGGGGATAGACTGGGGGGATGAGAAGGGGTGGGGGAGGGGAGACGGGGAGCAGAGCCCAGTGACGTTAAGGAGAGGCTGTGGTGGACCTCTTGAATAAATGAGCTGGAAGGGAGGAAAGTTGTGTTTGGAAGTTGAATTGGGTGCTGAATTCGCGATTTTTGGGCTGGAGCAGCTCTGGATGGTAATGTCTAGATTATGACCCTATGTGCAATTCCATGATTAAGGGTACAGTTTTAATGGGTCACAATTCTCATCATGGGTATTAAATACTTTTGGATCAGTAAGGTACCAGTTCTAACATTTGGACAATCTTAAAGAAACATTCTAAGCAGAGCTGAATTTCTTCTGCTATAAAAAGATTATTGTTTTTCACCTTTCTCTGTGGCCCCTGGTTTAGTTTGTGATTTCATTTGATAGGTTCCAGGAGTGTTCTAGCGGTTAGCTCTCTAATTTGCTTCTTCTGTGAAAGAATTTTTCCTGATGTCATTAAAATCAGCGTACCTGCTAATCATAATTGCTGACTTTTATTGAGCTTTGTCTTGCTAGGTAACATCCTGAGTTTTACTAGTTCCTATGGATTATCCGGAGATATTACTCAAAGCTGTGTGCTCTGTGCTTTCAAATCGTTACAGATAATGTCATACCTTTTAGGTAGGAGTAGCTGTATCATCACCTACAGTTATCAGTGGAATGGTTTCTCTATCGACCAGGTCAGACTGTCATTTCTTAGTTCTTTCCATCTAGCTACTGCTGAGGGGATCTTATCAACATCATATACAACATAATGAGAAACAGAAGAAATACCTTGTATGTACAGTGCAGTAAAAGACCCCTCATCAGGTCATAATTGTCAGGCTGTACTTTCAATAGAATGTTAAGAAGTTTTAGGTAGTTTGTATATATGAAACCGAGCCTTTTTCTTGAAAGGGTTAATATCTTTTGTGCTATTAGCTTCACTGCCTTTCCTTCCACTTCATTTTAGGAAGAAAAAAAAAAGGAGCCCCGAGAATGCTGGGCTGTTCCCTCGGCTGCATACACGGTGCTAATGAGGTGCCTTCGGGAAGGGGTAAGCCCCCTTTGTTGTCCTCTGTAGACGCTTGCAATTGTAATAACCCTTCAGGCACTGTGTGAGGATTGTAGCCTGCAGCAGTGCAGGAGCCTGTCAACCAAGCACTGTATTGCTCCTGAATTTAAGTAATGCCGACAAGCCACTGTGAGCCAGGGACCTACAGTGGATCAAGTGTAAAAACGAACTAACTCTCATTCACTTGTTTAAATGTCTTGCTTTTTAAGAGGTGATAGCAAATATAAACAACCTAACTAGTTCTCAATAACATATACTTAATCCTCCCCTCTCTTTTAAAGTTATCAATACAACAGTTTAACAGGCAAGGTGTATGCAGAGAATTTTCTGCGAACCTCAACATCCTTGTGATTATCTTGTCAGGTTGCCATTTTGTGGTTCAGAAACGGGGAAGCTGCCACTAGTATCTGTTGATTTTAATATTAAGTAGTAATTATTATGTGATGTGGGTTTTTTTTTTTTTTCAATTTATTCACATCCCTTCTCATGCTATTGTTAATGGCTGAAAACCAGCCAGCTGGCCAAACAACCAACCTGAATACGTAGCTCCTGTGTGTAATTGTGTAGAGGATTTAGTAACTGACCTAGAAGGTTGGCATTTTTCTGTTTGCTTTAAACCTTGACATTGTTTCACCCAAGGCAGAGCCATAAGCTAAAAACATTCCTTAAGGAATGAAAAAAACACATGTCAGAATAAACATCTTTCTTTTGAGTTCATTACTTCATGCGTTATATGGTAATGGAATGATGTCCCAAGTGTAGAAAAATCTCTGCAAGGTTTTCCCCTGGTGATCCAGAAAGGAGGTGTGAACACTTACCCGCCTGTAGGGTTAACTATGTAGTCAGTTGTCACTGTGGGATGTGAATGAAGCCAGTGTTCTTTACTTTATCAACAATATGAGAATTAAGTTATTTTTATCTGTAGTCAAAAGACATGTTTGGATTTATCATTCAAGGCCTCAAGCTAGGCACACCTGGGGGCACATGGATGAAGAAGGTGGAATTTCTATTCATGCACAGATCCTACCTGTTGTGGGAGCTAAGATAAAAATATAAAGTGGAATCTGTCAAGTACATTCATGCAAAAGAATAAAATACAGGAGCTCAAAGGAGAAAGGAGTCTTCTAGAAATTTTTTAAATGGTGTAAAGAAATTTTAAAAACTTTGTGTCTTTAATTTATAAAACTTAGATTAATGCCTAGTAAAAGATGATCAATTCTAATCCATGAGGTGGTATCCTTTATTAAATATATCCTCCCCACCCCCTCCTGTGTTTTCATTGAGTACATACTGTAAAGAATAGAGTTTGAGGGCTTCCCTGGTGGCACAGTGGTTGAGAGTCCGCCTGCCGATGCAGGGGACACGGGTTCGTGCCCGGTGTGGGAGGATCCCACATGCCGCGGAGCGGCTGGGCCCGTGAGCCATGGCCGCTGAGCCTG